TCCCACCCTTCCAAAAAGACTGAGAAAAGGGACCTGAACAGTTTCCAAATGCATAAAAATGATGCTGCAAAAAAAAAGGAAATTCCTTTTCACAGTTACAGTGGGGAGAACAGGAAGACACAGGCTTGAACTGCCTTAAGGAAACTTGTCAGATATTAGGAAAACCCTTAGATGCTAAGGATAATGATGCAAAATATACCACGTACAGAGGTTATGAACATTCACCACTGGAGGCTGTCAATAAGAGGTTAGAAAAATGTCTTTGGTGGAAGAGTTTAGATATAGCTGATATTGCCTAAGGAGGAAGAGGAGCCCAGACCAAAGGTTTTTAGATGCTTTCCAGTCCCAGTTTTCTGTGATTTTCCTGTATACAAGTTATCCTTACATCTACCTGCCTAATTTTCCCTTTCTGCACCTCAGCAGTTAATTGGAGGCTTGTTGGAAGGAGCACATATCAAGCCTGAGGCACATTATTTGGGATAAAGTCAGAAGCAATTGGGGAATTGGAAGCAATTCCTTTATTAAGAAAATGTACACATATGCGTATTGCCCCCAAACCCAGGGTAAGTAGGTAGAATAGTAACAAAGGACTTGAATATTTATCAAAATTTTCCTTTTTTCAAATGGGAAATGCAAAGCACAAAGGTATGAACCATCTGTAATGACACAGCAGGTTGTCAAAATGAGCCTGAAAAATGGATTGCCTGGCTCCTCAAGTGACCTGTCTGAGGGACTACACGCTCCTCCTGCTCTTGCTCTCTCTCCCCTCCCTGCCTCCCTTCCCCCAGCAAGCTGTGCAAGACTTCCAGAACTGCAGCATTTCCTTGTAAAAGTCTTGCCTGCAGCTGGGGAAGTCAGCCACTACAACAGTGTCTGTGCCTTCTGCTGTAACAAGAACACACATCAAAAAGATGATCATTACCAGCAGGAAAAAAAGTGAAAACTAAAGCTGCCTCAGGACTTACACCTTGCAGAGATGTTCTTGGGCTGATAATCCCCATCTCCTTTCTTTAACTTGCCTTTATTCTGGCTAACATTTGACAGAAAGACTCTATTCCTCTACCAAGTGAGTAACTATAAAAGGAATAAAAAGGAATAAAGGACATACTGCTGATAAGGAACAGAATTGCTCTTTATACAAGTGCAGAAGAATTCACAAGCGTTCACAAGCAAAGCGCTGTTGCTCCAGCCCAGCGTGGAAAGGAAGCAGTCTAGCTCAGCATTTTGTAGGCTTTTTCCTAAGGCTGCTGTAACTTCAGCTTGTAGGAAATCAGAATCAGAGCCACCAAAAATCTCTCATAACAAAGTATTACAAAACCAGTGCCAATCCTTCTGCACTCCGGCTTACCATTTCCATTTCCTCACTTCCATTTCCTACGTGCCAGTGCTGGAACCAAAGGAGGACCCAAGCTTGAATCACCCACAGGAGATCCTGCCTCTCAAACTGGCCATGCCAAGGCACACTAGGCTCCAAATTAATTCTGAATTAATTTCCAAGAACTCTGCTAGTCTCTAAGCCCCATGCATAGATTAAACATAATTTCGATTCATCATTACCAGTAGGACTAAAAACAAATTAGAAGAATTAAAGTGGAAGAATAATGAATTGAAAATACACCAGGAACGCAAAAGCCAGAAGCATTTCCAAAAAGAATAAAAGGCAATGTCTTAATTGATTGTTTTCTCAAAAGAAAAAAAAAAAAGATGCTCCTGCATAATTGGAATAAATATTACCAAATTCTTTATAAGCTTAGGTATTTCGTAGTTCATTCCAATGGCATATTTAAATTTTGATTTATAAATTAAGAGATATTGCTCACTGCCATAAGACACATTCCACTGGGTCTCAAAGTCTTTAGCAGATCCCCATTGTGTGTACTTTATCCTGATGGTTTCACATTCATGTTCATCAACACTCAGCAAGAACCATAAACAAAGCCCTTTCTCAGATGCACACATGCAGTTCCCATTGACTTTGCTGGATTTTCAGCTGACTTCAATCAGAACTCTGCCCATGTAGAAGGGCAAAACTTGGCTCTGCACATTCAATAAAATTACATCACTAGATACTTTTTAAATGAAGAGCAATGCAGGCCATACTGAAAAATAATATAAACTGAAACCCGCAAAATGTAGCCAAATAAATTCAAATTTCAGCCAGATTTTTCCAGAATAATAAAAAGGCCATGAATTTTAGGCAAGATTAAATGAAACCCTAATACCATCTCATTTACCAGAGTGCACTCTGCCTCTTTTAGCAGGACAAAGTGTGAAACCCAGCTGTTTATACAAGGTGATCATCTTGTTGTTTCAGGTATAGCAATGACAATGGCATCTGAAACAATCAAGTAAAGGTCATGTACTTAGCTGTGATTTGCTAAGTCCTTTTCTGCAGCTGTATCCTGGCCCTGTAAGCTACCACTCTCATTACAAGTGAATTTGAGGTGTAGAATACCACAGTAGAAAAAGTAATTAATCATTATATTAATAACTAATACAGTATTATTTTTGAATCTACTCTAATAGTGGTATTTCAAGCATATTAAATGCTTGAGCCTAGGAGTATCTATCTTAAACCCTTCAATCCTCCTTCCCAACTTGCCAAAAGAACAACATAACAAGAATCCCACACAACCTAGTAAAATCAATTCCCTTCCAAGTTTTAAATGACATTGTGCAACACAATTTCTGTCAGGTACATTAGCTAATGCACACTAAGCAAAACAATGCCCCATGTGTTTTTTCCAAATTTCTTTATTTTAATTTTACTCATTCTATGATGTAACACCCTGTATCTTTTTACTGCATCTTTAAAAATATCTACCTACTAGGATGAAGAAAATTCTCACTTCTAAAAAACCATCTAACAGGCTTCCTCACACTTTCTCTTTGTCTGATAAGCACTTGTTAGCCTGTAATTACAAATGTATACACAGAAGTATTCAGGGATGAGAACCACAGAGGGGACTTGATGTTCATGTTTGGCCGTCACACCCTGTCCAAAGAAGTAACATTTCTGATGATTTTCACACTTAAATAGCAGAACAGATTTTATGAATAATTTTTTCTTCATAGCTGGAACAGCCCCTATTCTCCACTCCATTATAATACTGAGTCACTTTGCATCAAGTTGGTCATTACTGATGAGCTAGGGAAGAAAGGAGAGAAGTGGATGAAATGCTCTCAAGCTACATGTGCGACCGGGTAAGTATCAGGTTGCTTCTTGAAGCAAATTATTCAAAATCAGAAAAAAATCATTACAATACAACTCACATAAGCGGAAACTATTTCATAATTATTGAGAAAGTCCAGTAAATCCAGCACTGGCGGTCAAAGGGATTGCAAAGACTTTTTCTTTTTTGTAAGTAAGTGAAACAAGAGTCTATCCTGATACAAGTGCTGAGTCGTACTGGTCATTCACACTGGATTACCCAGTAAGTTAAATAATTAGTTTGGTGGAGTCTGTTTCTCCCCATGAGAAACAGATTCCACCCAAACCAACTCCTCTCCTAACATCCCATCCTGCCACTGGTGGCCTGTGAAGACACTCATTTGTGTCAGAACTCCTTCAAGTAACTCCAGGTCTACTTGTCTCTGCTGGAGCAGGAGCTTAGAGAATTTACAATGTGTTGCAAAGGAACATTTATTCCAGCTTAAGCTCTGTGATTCTGACTACACAGTCAGGAAAGGAAAGGTATCCCCATCTCTCCCCTCAGTCCTACTGGGATGCGACTGAGGGGAGAAATGGATGGGGATACTTTTCTTGTTGATACTTCCTGTTCCAAGGAGGGAGTTATTAGTTTATTTTAAATGCATAGCGTGTCTGTTTGATGATGAGAATAAAAATTTACATGATCATTTTTCAAGAAAGTTGATTTTAAATAGTTAGGAAAGAAAATAACAACCAACAAAACACACAGGTGAAAAACTTGGCTTTTCAGCATGCCCTGTTTAAGCAATGACACATGAAGAACTTTATGCTCAAACAATTACCTGGTGCTTTAAATAGGACACTAAGGGAATAACGTTTCAAAATGTATTCACACAGCATAAGACAAATCCTCCTCCTGGGAGTACCAGTGCAAATCAGAGTAACTCCTCAGAGGTCAATTGAAGTACACCAGCACAAAATAAACGTGAGACAGAAGGGAATCCGGCCCCATCTACTTCTATATTAATGCAGAGGTTGCAGATCATCTGCAATGGTAAAGTGAACAACATAAATATAACTGACATCTATTCAATTGATCTCACATCCTGCCGACTATTCACAGCTCCAAATAGAGGGCTGAAGAACAATGGTTTGAGGAAGGCAGGCAGAAATCCGGGTTCACACATTCCAATTTGCTAATACCTCCTAGTTTAACTACCTTCATCTCCCCACACTGCTAAATCTTGAAGGGTTTGACATTGTCCCCCCAGCTCCAAAAGAACAACTTCTCCTAAAACAGAGTAAATGAAAAGATACCAGGAGAGATGTATGGGAGAGAAGATAAATGCAAACAAAATGTGCAAACATGAGAACCTACAGAGAAATAATCAAGAGAATCCCTGTCTCACACACCACATATATATGAAAGGCACTAGCAAACTGATTAATTATGTGGAAACCTAGCACTAAGAACGAATGGTACGAGTGCAGGGGAAGACTAAAATATGAGGCTATTTCAAACCGTGGTGTCATTTGTGCTAATTTAAGTGGATCTGTAATTATTTCCTACAACTTCATGATGTCCTGAACCAGCTTCCTCCTCCCCTGCAAGGCTGATAAAAGGACTCTTGGCAACACACTAAATATATTATGCAATGTATTGAATACTACCGAGAAAGAGCACTGAATTACACTGAAACAAAGAACATTAGGTGCGAGTATCACCACCTCCGGGGAAAGAGCACCTTTAACTACTTACCACATCAGTAAATGCAGGCGTTCTCCTGTACCTCCGCTACCTGCACCTAACAGCATTTGCTACATTTAACAAAGTTAAGGCGAATTTTACCTCAAATCTACTCAGGCTGGAGCTCTTTGACCGAGACTTCTTGCGGAGATAGACGGAGAAGAAGCGGCGCACCGTGAACTTCTTCATGTTCATGTCCATCGCCCTGTCCCAGCCGCGGCGCGGAGCGCGAAGGAGCTGCGGCGCCGGCGGGGGAAGCTAGCGCATCCCGATTGCCCCCTGTTTATATCCACAGGCAGCAGAGCCTCCGGAGTGCCTGCTTCTGCTCATGGAGCCGGACACAGCGCGGTCCCTGCCGGAGCCGGGGCAGCCCGGAGCCGGCCCCTCGGAGCACGCAGCTCCCGCTCCGCTCTGTTTACATTTGGGAGCGCCGAGCCCAAGTCCGGCCCCGGCGCTCCCGCCCGCCGCCGGTGCCGCTGCGCCCAATGGGGCCGGGCGGAGGCTGCACGCAGAATCGGCGGCGGCGGATGACAGCTCCTGCGTCCCGGGCGGAGCAGGTTCCAGACGAATACTGCATGTGTCTGTTGCTTTGCGCTCCCTCTCCTCTCTCAGTCAGGCTCTTTCAATTTCCTGCTTTCTGAATCACATGGGGAACGGGCACATGCTGCACTTCTGTTTTTAGCTCAGAATTCAGACGCTGCTATAATTACTGAGGGCTGTGGTGGTCAGATCCGAGAAGAAATCGGCTCCCCTGTGAGAGCCGCTTCTGGAAGAAAGCTGAAAGATGTCGTGCCCCCAGTGCCAGAATAGAAAGGTTTGAATCTCCTTTTATTCCGGGGAGTATGCAAAACAGCACTGTCCCCCCTCCGCCCCCGAAATTGAAAAGCTCACCATATCCTGCTCACAATTGCCCGCCCGCTTTGCATTGAAATACCCAACACTGGCACAGCTCTGAAAATAGCAAGCACAATCTCAATGGTAAGTATTACTATTCTTGTTGTACTACAGCAGGGAGCTACAGCCCTTCTAGGAGGCTGGGTATGTACATCTATTTAGGGGCTGTAATTTTGAGCTGCACGGCAAGCATGCAGACTTACAGCTGCACCCCCACCTCCCCGCAACAAAATCACATTTTTCAGCTGTTCTTCAAAAAATAATGAATCTCAGTGTGTTCCAGAGACCAGAGAGCTTTCTCTGCTTTTTCTCTGCCTTTCTCTCTCACACACTTCAGGCTCTTTTCCTAGGGCAGCCTTTCTTCTCTGGCTACCAAGGAGCAGCTAGACATGCCTTTCTCCCATAACCTCGGACATCACTACAGCCTGAGAAGACTTGGAGGGTAAATGACAACACCTCTTAAGTCCATCTGCTCTAAAAGAGAGGTGTATTTTGCTTTACTTGCGTATCTGGGCTGTGAACTTTCTTGGCTAGCAATCCCAGTCAACATCTGCTTTTTTGAGGTTCCCTGTCCTATTCTTCTGCCTCAAACTCACAATGGTCTATATGCACCCAAAGAAGTACTAACAAGAAAAAAGAAAAATAATATTTTGGCATTTATAGTTTAATTTAAAAGGAGGCTAGATGGGAAAGGCTGCCATTAGTGCTGGGCTCTGTAACCTCACAGAGCCTGACTCTGCTGTGCATGGACCCCAGTGTTACCCCAGCCTAAGGTGACTGTTTCACAGTGACAGTCTGCTTCTTCCTTATCCCTTCTCAGCACACCCTCTGAATGCTTCTCCGAGTCTCTTGGTTTGCAACAAAAGCACCTTTGGGGGTTGCTTTCACTGTGCTGTCCCAGTGCTGCCCCATGTCAAGCCCAGGAGCCTTTTGCCATTACAGTTCCCTTGTTTCCCCAACTAAAGACTCTGGAGCAAAAGCAAGTGTCCAAGAAGAAAACCTCAGGTATTTATAGGTAACCCTATACACCTGAGAAACAATGAACAGGCTAAAAGGCAATTGAGTTGGTCAATGCCAAAATTACTTGCTGATGCAGTCTCTATAGCCAAGTTTCGTGTCTCCTCACAGCCTTGCTGCAGTAAAATCAGCAGTGTCACAAAGGCCTCAGGCACTCAGCTGATTACTTGACCTGCCTCTCACCTGTCCTGACACACCACACAGCTGCTGCTGCTGTTTCTGTGCTGCCTTTTCGCTGACAAAGAGGTGTCCTGGCACGAGCTGGACCAGGCTTTGTGCTGGCTTTTGGCAGCCTCACACATTCCCACCTGTGTAAGCCACTTGAGCCTTAAAGAGCAAACAAACCAGTCCAGGGTGAGATCCCTGAACCCTTCCTGTCACAGATACATCCCTGGTCACTGACATCTTTATTAATGCAGAGGAGGTGATAACTTGCCAGCTTTGAATACACAGGCTGTGTGTAGTAACATGAAGTATATGAGTGCCTGTTACTATTGCACTGGTGGATTTATCACAACCTTCCCTTTTCATTACATCAGTGGTGATTTCACATACAGGGACTTGCATTCACCATTAAATGTGCCTGCACTGTAATAAACTTCCAGTAAAATTACACAGGCCATGACTTAATGCCTAGCTATCAGGTACACTTATTACATTCAGAATTTTGTTCTTTACCACAAAAATAAATATTTTTTTTAAATCCATCACAATGTATTGGCAAGTTATTGTCCGCATCAGAGCAGAAACTAGCCTTGTATGCTAAAGGTTAGACTATAACACTGAGCACCATGCCCAGGGATAGAAAGTAACTCTCTTACATCCCTGACAGGACACAGGCATGGAAATAGGCATGCTCTTTTTATTTTCTTATTTTGCTTTCAGACAGGTAATTAGGGATTAAATTCAGAAGGACAACCAACCACCTTCACTCTACTGGGCAGCAGAGATATTGCAGAATATATTCCAACTTTTGCAAAAAAGCAAAAGCAACTGAGATGCACAATTTACATAAAAAATACAAATGCAACAATTAAACAAAATAGACATGCATGTAAAATTAAAGCATCAGGATAGATATGTGAAAAGTAAATTCTACTACTGTTCCATGTGGCATGCTTGACGACATTGAACTTAACTTTTTCTCAGAAAAACATTTTCTGAAACTTTCATGCAAGTCAGACAATAACCACTTTTCACAGTGGTTTTAATTAAAAGGTGCAAGGCAAAAATAAGCTTGATTAAATTGGAACATTCCGGATAACATTTATAAACACACTACTGTCAGATCATTCTACAACATGAAATATTAACTGGACTTAGAAATTAATGTTTTTAAATTATTTATCTTTTTTGAGCAATTTTAACTGCTGAGGAACTTGATGGAGGAAGAAAATCTCCAAATGTCTCTCTTTAAGGGACAATAAACAACAATAAACAACAAAAATGGTGGAGGGGACATATGGCACATTGGCATAAACCAGTAATACTCATCTGTATTCTGAAATATAGCTTTTTAAAACTAGCTTTTTAAAACTAGACTCATATATGCTGTAACACAAAATAAATAAATACAATATCATGGCTGCTTCTCTCCCAGTGAGGTGGATAGCAAAACAAAGTTTACTTCAGCTGAAAAAAGGCTTAAAAAAAACCCCAAACCAAAAAGCTCATATTCAAGGATTCAAGACAAATTCTCCAACAGGAATCACCAAAATTAGATATTACATAGCCCAGGTTTGATTTTTAAAAGATAAATGGAGAATTCCCAGTTAATATGTAATGAAAGCCAAAAGTCCTTTCCTCATATAGACGGACCATACCAGAAGCAGGAACAGACTGAAGGACCCAGGCTTAGAAAATTAACAGAGGGCAGCAGAACAGCCTGAACAGCACCCTAGTGAGAAGGATGCCAGTAGCCAATGCCAGATGAGTCATCAATTTTTAAATGATAGAACATGCAAGTCCAAGATATCTACCACAAACTGGAAGATATAATTAACCAAGAGAAATTTTGTATTACTGTATTACACAGAACATCAGGCCCTATGTTGAAATCAGGCCTTCTATTTTTTTATGTAAATAACAATTTATGAGCAAACCCAGAATGACTCTGCTACTTGAGTAAATTTAGCCATCACTGTAGAAGTAAAAACTATGAATTGATAGTATCTTCCTTGCAAATGCAATCAGTATTACCAATCCTTTCAGTAAGTCCATCAGAAAGACAGAAAAAAAAATCCAGAGAGAAATAAGAAAGCATCAGAAGCAGAGACACCACAGACAGAACAAATAAGATTATCAGAACACAACATGCAGAGAAAAGGAAAATGAGACTCCCACAACAGAGGCCCAAGAGACACTGCTACAGAAAAGGTGAATTACGCAGCACCATTTATGCTCTCATCAAAGAAACTCAGGAACAAAGCAGATGCTTCCAAGGGACACCAATCAGCTGAGTAAGGAACAGCACTTTCCCCCTGTGGTCAGATTGTGCATGACTCTTTCAGTGACTGCTGTTTGCTCATCTTGAATGCTGGACAAATTGCCATATGGCTTTTGTTTCCTCCGTGAATACGTAAGGTGGCTATTTTTCTTACTGATGTTTCTTTCAATAATGTGGATGGGCTTTGCCCAAAGAAGTGCTTGGGCTTTGCTCTCATTGCATCAGTGTGGGTCTCAGCCTTTCCAGCTGCTGTACACAGCTAAGTACCTTGTCCTGTTTAGCACACACTTACATCACTGGAGTTTTCTCTCTCAAAAAGGCACATTGCCCTGCCAGTACCGCAGAATGCAGGCAGTGACTTAACATCTCTCACCAAACCAGCACTGACAAGTGATCAGCCATGTTGGCTGGATGGGGATACAAGGGAAAGAAAGTGCTTTTTCCCTTTTCTCTCACCTCCTGGCTGTGTATCACAAGCTTCAGTAATTTTGATCCTTTTCTGTTATATGCATTATTCCAGTGGAGGTGCAGGCCCCTTCAGGCATCTTGCAAATTAAAATCACTGCTCAGAAGGAAGGAGAAAGTGAAGTCACCTTGTATGACTGGGTCTGACAAACTGGCAGGACACAGGCTCCCTGGACAGTTTTCTCTAATCCCAATAGAAACATAATAGCCCTACAATGTCTTTTTAATCTTGCACTTGTAAACTCAAGGCAAAAGCAGAGTATCTCCTATACACACATCTATGTTATTCCCTTGATGCTAAAAGCATCATCCAACACTGGCAATTGTATGAAGAGAAACTAATGTAAATGGAAGTGCATCAGCCCCAGAAAAGTGACTCTAAAAAGACCTGTTCTCCTTGATATGGTGGTATTCCACTTAGTGGATTCCATTCAACACATTTTTAAACATTCCTAAAAATGGGCATCAAAATAAGTTCTTGAAAGATTTGAAATCAGTGTTTTGCAGAGATGCAAGTAGCTTAGATGGAGACAAAAGTCCTGAAGAATTTTAAATAGACTACATCAACAGTAAGATTAAAATAAAAAAAAAATTACACAGTTGCACTAAGATGGTGAACCATCCCTGTGTCATTCTGGAACAGAGCAATCATATATCTTGAGTTGGAAGGGACCCACAAAGTTTATTGAGTCCAATCCCTGGCCTCGCATATGACAGCCCCAAGAATTCCACCCTGTGCCTGAGAGCATTGTCCAAACACTTATTGTACTCTGTCAGGCTGGTGCTGGGACCCTTTCCCAGGGGAGCTGTTCCAGTGCCCAGCCACCCTCTGGGTGACAAACCTTTTCCTAATGTGCAAGCTAAATCTCCCCTGACAGAGCTTTCTACCATTGAGGTCTCCTTGGTTCAGTTGCCCAAAGATCCTAAGCACCCACCAGTCACATGGTTATAGAGTTACTTTCAGAGTACCAAATGAGCTACACTATGAGAACATGTGGCTTGTTCTTATTGGTGCAGGGAGACCCACGAGTGCTGCAGAAACAATAGCTCCAGAAATAAGAAAACAATATTTGATTGAGTTTTCACCAGAGGACAGACATTTTAACTGTCACAAAAGCATCTTGTGTTAGTGCTGGAGCATCGGATTGGCAGGTGTCACAGCTGCTGTCCCCATATGTGCTTTGCTGCTCTCAGACTCAGGGGAACGTGCGGCAGCTTCACTGGCCACACACACGTCACTCAGCTGTGGGCTGCTTTTAGGATGGAGATTGCAACATCTAGCAATCTGCATGGAAGAGGATCAGCCTCAATTCTCTTTTTTTTTTGCTTTTTAGCAGTGTCCCTGAGCATTTTACTTTCTTGGCTGATATATATATATATATACTGGTCTTGCTGGATTTTGGTGGCTTAGATAGAAATGTAAGACAAAGAACCCAAAAATCTAATTTCCTTCATGTTACACAAGCTTCTACTCCAACATGAAGGAGATTGCTGAAGATACAATTCTGCTTTCTTTTCTTTGGACAATCAGACAGTCACACTTTTCTCCTATAAAGGACTGGAAGTTTTCTGGAAGGAAGGATAATAACTGAAGTATGAACGGTCTTATCGCATGAATATTTATGAATATCACTTTGAGC